TCTATACCGACATCTACTGAAATTCTTTCCGTATTTTCTAAAAAATCCAAATCTTTGAAATTAAAATTATATTGTATTCCTAAATACAAAAATTCACCTTCAGGAAAAGGTCGAATTTGAACTATTTTTCTACTTGTACCCAAAATGGTTCTTGCAGTTAAAGGTAACCCGTTGAGTCCAGCATTATGTAAGGTTTGTAGGAGGTCCGTTAGGCTATTTTGCGAAATATTATTTTTGATTGCCCACGTTTTTAACCCCCTACAAATTTCCTCGCTTAGGTTTTTGTTTGCAGATTCTTCTGTGTTATCATCACTTTCGACATCTTCAAACAAAAACCTGTCATCATCGCTATTATATTCATCGATATCTAATTCAGGAAACTCTTCCATAGTGCTGGACGTTAGATCACTATTTATTCCGCGGCAAAATGCTTCTCTACTCGTGGATGGAATATCATCGCTTTCTTACCCAGAAGTCGATTCATTCAGTTTGCGAAACTTTTTATGCATACCGTAATAAATAATGGTGTAAAGGTACGATCTAATAATAATTCTATTAATAATGATAATAATAGCAATTAAAGTAGTAATAAAAATAATAATATTATAATACTATTATTATAATATTATTATTATATTAGATATTATAATAATAAAATTAATAACAGATAAAATTTATATATATATCTAATCTCCGCTGACTTCTACTGTCTGTATTCCACGACCTGCAAAGAAAATATAAAAATAAAATTTGATAAAAAATAATATATAATAAAAAATATCGCAACAAAACCAAAAAAACACTTCATTGAAACGTCTATATATTATGGCCATAGGCAAGTGTATCCACATATCGTCGTTTAAAGTACAAAACCGCGTATCAAGATAATGCAAAACCGCGTATGTGAGGTTGCATAAATTATATTCCAGAGCGTAAAAACTCTCATATGTCCAAATGGTTTTCTTTTTTGTAAAGCAATCGCATTTCTGGCTAGTATATTTCAGAACGAATGGATAAGGCTTGAGCCAAGAGCTATTGTTAGCTAATCCAATTTTTGGCAAAAAAGGTAATTTACGCGGCTTTGCAGAGCGACGATACGCGGTTTTGTACTTTAAACGGCGATATGTAGCTCTACATATTGTGCCGTATGTATGCTAATTGTACATACATATGTTGCACATATCGTACCTAGACGAAAAGAAAAACTTATTTCCAAAACGCGTTAAGTCCAAAATAGCACCCCCATGACATGTTAATTGTATGTTGCACATATGTACATATCGTCGCTGGAATAATGAAATAGTGTAACATGAAAAGTATAGTTTTGAGAAAAACGAATTGGAAGTGTTTATAAACCATTACAAACCATACAAATACAATTTGGTTTTTCGGGAATAAATTAGTGAGCCAAAGAGATATTTAAGAAAACTAAACATTTTTCAAATAGATTAAAGGATTGTCTATCCAATAGTGCAATTATCGAGTAAAAGTGTATTTGGCATTTACACTGTTTCTTTATTCGAGCGACGATATATATATACATATTTCCACTGCACTTTCCTCTTTTTACCTACATACGTATGTACACAGGTACCTCGTTGCAGCTGCGCTTTGTACAAAGGTACTTGCACTTCACTTTCTTTTGTTGCAGTTAAACATATCACATACATAACATATCTACACACTTATGCAGTTGCAACTATTTCCACACATATGTATGTATACAATGTAGGTACCCAGCCAGCATTTGGTCGATGCAACTACAACAACTGATGCAAATGCAGCGGATGCAAATATTGTTCCTGACCGAAAATGTCTGTTTTTTAAAAACGCATCAATTCTTGAGTGTACAACCGTGAAATGATAATTTACACAATTTACATTCAACTCAGTTGGCACAAATTAAGCAAATTTGCTGTTAATTGGAATTAAAAGAAACTGATGTTTTATATTGTTGCGCTTAGGAAAACAGACATTCTGCTGCACTTTTCCCATTTTTTGCACCACACTTATTGCTGTTTACACATGTACCTAGTTGCACTTTTAACATACATATGTACATACATATTTGCATTGCACTTCCTTCTTTTTACTTACATAAGTACATTTAGTTACTAATACTTTATTTTTTGTTTATATACATACATGTGACCACATTTATGTAGTTGTAGCCAAAGCTGGCATTCTGTTGCACTTTTCACAGCACTTTCTGTTTACATATGTATATATCTACGTGTCGGCAGTGATACTGCAAACTTTAATTAAATAATCCCTCACCCGTACCTTACAGAAAAAGGAATACATTTTCGTCACGAGTTTAATAGATTATAAATTTTGGCACTCCGGTGAGGCTAAGAAATCAGTGCCAGAGGTAATAATTTCTGCAGAGTTTTGCAGTATCACCGACGACATAAACACAAGTAAGTACATACATACATATGGATTTAGTTGCGTCTGGAGCAACCGCGTTTCTTAATATTTAAACCAACGTATTTTATATTTATATATATTTAAACTCACCGAACAATGTAGCTGGAATGTTGTAGGGTTGAGAGTTGTTGGCGACCAATGGCGTTGAATGTGCTGTGGGCGTCGTTGCTGATGTTTGGCAATCTAAAAGAAATAATTACATTATAATCAAATGAAACTGTTAACAATGGTTAAAGGCTGACTTCCAAGTTGGTATATTGCAAAGCATCAGCCTCGTTTATTTATAAACTATAACTGATGGAAATTACCAATTTGCCCAACTAAGTTCCAATTCGGCGTTTGAACATGGTTGCGCTTATTGCACTTTTCCATTAGTTATATTTAGTTTAGAAATAAAAGAGGCTAATGCTTTGCAATATACCAACCTGGAACTCAGCCAAACTATGTTAAATTGGGAAACTTTAGTCTTCTTACCTTCAAGGTTCTGATGGCTTAAGTCTCCTGCTGATGTTTGGCTATCTATGGATATATAAAATATACATATATGTATTTAATAAAAGAAAAATTACATTTAATCAAATTAAATTGCTTCTTAACTCCAAAATTATGCGCGAAATTGATGTTTTTCTTCGCAGCCTACTAGAATCAAATTTGAAATTCGCTGTCAAATTTCGCCTGATTTTCACTTGCTCGCTCTAACGCATATAATTCTTATTAAGAGTGCGAATTCTTATAGCTACGCTGCTCTTACTTATGGAAACCTTTTTCGACAACTTTTGAGGGTGTGGGTGAGATGACAAAAAAGTTGGGTATGTGTTGGTAAATCATTTGAATTTCAGGGGAAAGTGGTGAGCCGTGGCTGGCAGGGTAGTCAAATACATCGATCAGCTGTTTACTTGCTAGTTTCTGCTAGTTTTGCGTTTCTTTACTATTTCTTTTTTTCGCTCTCTGTGAGCGTATTTCCCTCAATTTTCTCATTATTCTCCTTTCTGATAATTATCTGCTTGAAAGGAAAAGAAACAAAGCCAATACCAAATGAAAATTCGTTCGATCAGCACATTTGACCATTGTGTACAAATCCACAATGCATTCGACCACAGTCGAAGATCGAATGCAACTCATAATAGGGGCCTATGTAGTTGTGTTGAATTGTGTAGATTTGTTTGTGTAGATTTACGTTCTTTGTGTTCGTTACTCATTTCTAGTAAAATCCAGGTTTTTACTAATTTTCATGTTTTGGCGTTTTCGTACGCAAAAACTTGCAAAGTAGGGGATAGAGCGAAAAATGGTAGTTGAAGCTGCAAGTTTTTACTAGATTTTACTGGATAAATTTTTACTTGTAAGAAATCGCCAGTACGAAAAGCAGCTGATCGCATGTTGCTGGATGCAATTTAAACTAACAAGGAAACTATTTGTTTTATTGTTGAAATTGACAAAATAAACCTATTTAAATATAAAATATATTGTTTTATTAGGAATTTGCTGCGATTAAACAAGCAATTTATCAGCTGTTCATGAAACTTGCAAATCTGTTACTACGTTTATACGTAAGCTATTTGCAAATAAAAATAATTTGCAAATACCTACATAACTCACTGTTTATTCGATGGTGAAAAATCCTTTTTTAATATTGCCTGATTATAAAAAGGCAATAATATGGCCATCGAAAAAGAAAATAAAGTTAAAAATGGCAACGTCTTGATTATAAAAGGGCAATAAGATGATCATCGAAAAAGAAAATAAACCTAAGAATTGGGGGCGTCTTGCGCTTATTTGCCAATTGTACCACTAATCAATACTTATTTGCGTGATTTAGTTATTTGCAAATAAAAAATTAACTCGGCGTATATACGGAAAAGTTTACCATTTTGCAAATTGTTATTTGCAAATAATACGTGCTTATAAACGTAGTATGTGTTCGTATGGAATAGTAGCTTATGTCGAAAGGCGGGTTTTAGTATAATGCAGCATTCTCAGCATATGTACGGTTGCGAATGGCTCACTGGGGCCGAGCCTTTGAAGAACTTTTGGCAATTAAACGTGCAAGAAATAGTTCCGAAATTAGCAAGCCAATATTCTTATTAAGTCTCACCAAAAAATTCGTTGTCGTTTAAAGAATATAGGGAATGCCGCATTATACTAAAGCCAGCTTCCCGACATAAGCTACTATTCCACACGAACACAGAAAATATGCCCCGTATGTTGTAATCCAAAAGTTCGTAGTTACGAATTCGTAGCTCCGTTCCGAAAATTGGTATACTGTAATCCGATCGTAATCATGATGCAATAATACAAGGTGGTATCAGTTGTGACAGCTCGGTTTGACACTACCTTAGCTCAGTAGAATGAGAAGAAAAACGGGAAGAAATGAAACCCCATATGGGGGAAAAATATAAAATTTCACATTTTCTCCTTAACAAAATTTGCTTTTTTATAGTATATTCGTTATGAAATGAAATAAAATAAGATAAAATACCTTTTTAAGAAAACAAAGTGGGTATACTGAGAAAAAATAAAAAGCATTCAACTATATTAATGGGCAAAGAATAGTGAAAGAAGTAACACTGTTTCACGTAAGGTAGTCAATATGGCGGAATTAGAGCGAGAAGTTGCCAACTGATAACACCTTGTATTATTGCATCATGGATCGTAATTATCAACGGCGTTGCCAAATAAAATAGTGAAATTCGATGTTCTTAATCAGCTGCTTTGACAGAAACCAATCAAAATAAACATAATCGCAAATGAATAGTGAAATTAAAAAAAAAATAGTTTAATCATTATTCTAAAAGACTTTTCCTTAATTAAGTAGAATACAAAGGATTCAGTGGCCAATGCACTTTTGTCCCAGGAGGAAGAACTGCTAACAGTTGCATTAATATTCAAAGGAGATCGCTAGGATTCTGTTGTTGTTGTTGTTGTAGCAGCATACAAATTCCCCAAAGAGTTTTTGGGGAGTGTTGCTGGAATGACAGTCCTTGGCCAAATATAAATCTGGGTCGTTCCGGTTACGTAGACCCGACTGTCGTGGGAACGATCGCTAGGATTCTGATCCATTTAGCTTAAATGATAAAATGTAAGCTCCCTCCTTTTAAGGGCCTTTATTTCACTACATATTGTGCCGCTTTAATTCTTGGAACGCTTTCCGAAAATTCTACCACATCCTCTAGCTCCTTTTACAAAGCCTCGACCAATGTCCGGCCTTTCGCTCATGCATTCCACCAGTTTTTCATATTGCGAGCGATTTTTTGTGATCTTCGATCTGTTAATATTGTAAACATTCAATAATGTTTTTTTTATCTACTCACACTTCAACTTACATACATATTTTTGCGTTTACACACTTTATTTTATTGTTATTTTAAAACAATTTGTTTCGCTCCGACACGAGCTGCTATTCGTACAAAATTTTCGACAAATACATAAAAATGACAGCTACGTCGGATTCAGGCATACCAACATTACGAATTTCGAAGATGGCCTACGAATGTCGAAATTACGATACGACAACGCCGATTTCAGCATACCGATTTTACGATTCGTAGCAAAATCGAATCTACGACGGATTACAGCATAGGGGTGTATTACTGGATTTGCGTTCGCGTACTTTTTTGCATATTTTTTTCTATGAAAGCGAATTCTCAGAAATTAAAGGTGTGTATAGTAACTTCTCCAGTACAAAATAGCAGCGAGAGCGTAAAAACAAAACGGAGCGTAAAATTTAGGAAACTAGTTATTGAACACAAAACCAAGGCATATTAAATAAGTATAGTTGCCAACTTGGTGCTTTAAGCACTAGATTTAGTGCTTTCTGAAAATTAAAACGCCAAAAAAAATTATTTAGTGCCTAGTGGCCTTTTTAGTGCTTTTTTTCGCAACTAAAATTACTCCGATATATATATATCTGGCCGCACAATTGCTTTAGCACTAGAATTTTGAAATATCCTAACCTCAAAGTGCCAAAATCACAGTTTTTGGCGATATTTGAGGTTATATAATGAACACATGAATTTTTTTCCACATTTCTACTTAGGGCATGATTTTCCTTTGTTGGGATTCGATTTTTCTTTGTTGAGATATATCAGTTTTAATGTGCAGTACTTCGGTATTACGTCGTAAGCATGAGTCATTATAGCATGTGGCTTTTCAATCGTTATGAGCGAAAAAGTTTTGTTTATTGATTTATGTATGCATTCTTTTGAATATTGTTAATTTTTTGTTTTTGTCAAATATATACAAACTATTATGAAAAAAGCATCCATTGATTCAAAACCATTTGGTGCTTTTAGTGTGGTAAAATGCTTTTTTCCAAATTTTTGGTGCTTTTTGAAAATCAAAAGTTGGCAACACTGTAAATAAGGTAGAAGTGATTTTGACATTTCTCTCTTTTGAACACCCATGATACAAAAAACAACGTATTTCCATTGTCACTTTTTCGTGGCCATATTAACAACCTGACATTGCGACATTTCGCGCTACCATACCCAATATCTAAAATCCTTAAAATTTTCGTATTAATTTTTTGTCGATTTAAAAATATTTTGTTCTTACGCATAGTACTCTGTTCATGTTTCACATGAAAAAATCTATCAAATTGCATATAAAATTTCTTTCTGTGAAATAACAGGTCTATTCTGCACGTTACCAAAAATTTTGTAATCGGAAAATTGTATTACCAAAAAATTGTACCAGTTCTTGTCACCGCGATTCTAGGTACGTTGGTATTGCAGTGAAAATATTCAGCAGTTCAGCTATGGAGATTTGTGGAAATTCTTGTATTGCATATTTCACGGGGCAATATTTTGTTACCAGCTCATGAGATGGTAACCAAATTTACCGGTTACAAGAGCGCACAGAATGCGAGAAAGGTTTAAAAATTGACAGACACTTTAATTACCGGTTAGAAAATTTATGTTACCAGCGCAGAATAGACCTGTAAGTGTGAAATTCCACATTTCCTCAGCAAAGTAGTATTCTGTGAAAAAGCTTGCAACATGAAGCTACCAACACAATTTGGACAAAGACAATATGTATTAAATAACACATCGAAATTTGTAATTTCAGTGTCTGAATTATATCAGAATCATCGTATCCGATTTAGAAAACTGTAATAGTCCTCGCTAGCTACATTGTGAAATAATCAGATGACATGGACACTAAAAAAATTTTAAAATATGTTCACTAAAATTAAATTAATATAAAAATAATGATTTGGCAAGTTGTAATCGAATTTAATGTAAAATTTAAACGTTTTTAAGATATTATAGTAATTATTTTTAAAAGGTAAATGTTAATACAACTATTTTATTTACATATAATCCCAAATTTAGGATATAAAATCTTCCACACCAAAAAACTTACAATTGGAAAACGCCGCTTCTAATTTTTCACAATTGAGCAATTGTTAAAAATCTGCGTTTTAATCAAAACGTTGTTTATTGAAACTACCTTCTTTTTTGTATCATGGAAACTACTTTCTTTTTTGTATCATGTTGAACACCGACTATAATGTCAAATGATGAATACCTTTTAACCCTTTTCAAGTTGGCATTTTCTATTTTTCATTAAAAATTCCATTGCGTGCTGTGAGATAGTTTTGAATTGTGTGGTTTTTTTTTTGTTTTTCGACCACTTCCATTTATAGATACATATACAAAAATGAAGAGGAGCAGGAACTACGGGCGTTGCGCTATGTAGCAAGAGCCAAGGCGTTAAAATGGTGCGATACTTAAGACCCGTTTACATACAACTTTGGCGTTGCGTTGGCGTTGGCGTCGCTTCGACAGCTGACTATGGCTGCGTTTCTTTATAAATTCCGGATAAACCCATTTCACAACCAGAATAAACAGAATGCCATTGAAATATACGTTTACATATCATCAGGAACGTTCTAAAGAATAAGTAAACAAAAAAGTTTATTCCAAACGTTCAGAATGAATAAAGAAATGCAGCCTATGAATCCATGCATTTATATGAAAGTCTCCACATAACCAAAGTTGGGCACCGCCAACGCCAACACAACGCAGAAAGATGGCCAACTCGCAACTTTTTGCGCGCGTCGTTCGTCAGCTGTTCCAAATAATCAAAATTATGTGATTTCATTTTCCTTTTAAATCAAATGCGGACAAGAAATATAGTTTTTAATGCAATTATTGATATACAATTTTGATTTATCTGCCTCTTCTTCTTCTTTTTTGGCGCTGTAACCGCCTAAGCGATTTTGGCCGAGTTCAGCAAAGCACGCCAGTCGTTTCTCCTCTGTGCCAACTGACGCCAATTGGAAACGCC